CTTTTCATTTCCAATGTAACTTCAAAGCATCCGGAGCTTGGCCGTCTGCCAATTCTCGAGACGAGCAATTAAGTGGCGCTATTTGTCAGCATCCGCTTCTCCACACCTCTTACACTGCTCATTTGCAGGCGTTCGCACTGATTATCTGCCTCGTTAACTGTCACTCGTGTCATTCCTCTTGTTTGTCTCCGTTTGCCTCCGCTTCGGAACCACGTCGTTTGTCAGTCGCGAGCTTGCTTCGCTCGTAGCGACGCTCCGATCGAACCGAGCACCCGAAGGCGGCTGCGTCCTTCTGGATCGATGAGAATGCAGTTCGATGGGCTTCGACCGACGCTGCATCCTCGCCGCTCGAATTTCTCCGCGGGAGCCAATCGCGAAGTCTTCCGCAGTCCGCGTCGTCGATCCGATCGGCTTTGCAACGGGCACGTTTCGCGATTGCCGCTTACGCTCGACTTTTCACCCGTCTCAATTGTTCCAAGTTGCCGTTCTCGATTGTGCTCCGCTTTGCGAAATCACTTCCAGGCGCATCGCGAAACCACTCGATGGAAAGTCAGAGCTATACACATTTTTTCGAGTTATTCTTCAATAATTCAATGAAAATTGCGCCGTTCGTTTCGGCGTGCTTTCATCAAGATTTGTTTTTGCGACTGCAAGTAAAAGACACGGTTACTTTACAAACAGAGACGGCCTCGTTCAAGCATTCATTGCTTCTTGGGTAATCGATTTCGCCCATAGTGCAAACGACTCGGCGTACCGTTTTCAGCCGTGGTGTCGTCATCGCGAAGATTCGTGTGGACTTATTAACTGGTGAACCAATTTTGAAAGAACGAATTTCCCGCCGCGCGATTGATCGAGACGAAAGGGGATTTTGCTCGCCCGATGAATTCGGGGAACATCCGAGTTTCGGCAAGGTGGCGATATCGCAAAGCTGCGTACCGAGACTGATTATTTTTCTTTTTTTTCGGATGAAAAAATCTCATCAATCGACAATCAGCCGTCATACTATCGATTTGAATGACGTACTTTGTTTTCTTTTTCTTCTGCGAGCTCAAAGTGCCTATCTCTCAATCGAGACAAGGCGTTGTGCAAAGCTGTGTTACATAAGAATCGATTTATGCGGAAACACGCTGATATACATTTTATTGGTGTTTTTTCATCGGAGAATTCGATCGCGAAGTAATAGATGATTGCCGGTATTGTTCGACTGATACGCGAACGGTCGATACAATGGTACGGGAGATTCTCGCGTATCTATCGTGCATTACTTGCATAGGTATCAAGACCTTAAGTCTATCTCTAAGAAGCCTGTGCCTCGTTGCTCCCAAACATTAAATAATTTCGCTTTTTGCACGAGCACGGATTGACAATTTTTATTTCATCACTCTAAGCATGGACAGAGAAAGAAAGAGAGGAGTAATACAGCGAGACCTGCGCTCATCAGCTGCATCTGTCCTACTTAAACAATAACTGGATGAAACCACCTGATGAAAGTGCGCTCGCAGTCGCGATTAACGCTAAGCAGCGCTCAATCAGTCGTTGAAAAAACGCGAAACGAGCACTGGAAATAAAAAGCCTACTTTTGTCGTTTCCGTGATGTCATCCGCGAGAGAGAGAGAGAGAGAGAGAGCGCACTTGCAATTTACAACCCGAAACTGTGCAAACCGCCCGGATATTTATAATATACGCGGCAGGAGCAATCTATGAACGACATGACTAAATCAATAAGCGCGTGCACTCCGAATGCCTTTACGTTACAGAAAGAGAGCAGGAGACAGAAAGAGAAACTATCTGAGGCGTACTCTTTATAGTAAATAGGGAAAAAGCGAGCCGAAAATTCATATACGTAAGAGAGAGACGTGGTTATAAGCGTACAAGCGCGCTATCGTGCAGATTCAAGTCGGCATTTGGAGAATCCAACCGGCAGCCGGCCAACCGACCAATCACGGAGCCGCGTTCGTTTTATGCCCATATATGGCAAGGAGCTCGCGACGAGCTGCCGACGGGAGTGGGGAACTCACAGCTGCATTAGAGGGGCGGCAAAACCGGGCGAGTCCATCCGAGCATTTTATTTCTCCCGGCCGACGTTTTTTTGTGATTGTTCGCTAATTTGACGAGTGCCCGACGAAAGATCGATGACTGCTCGCTATAGGCTTCGATTGCTGACGAGAGACGGGCGAAAAACTAGGCACTAGCATCGCAAAACGTGGCCAAAAGCCACGAGGTCCTTGCCGAGGCCGAGAGCGCGAGAGTCGCATTGATAGCGTGCGAGAGCGAGAGAGACAGAGAGTGGACGAGTCCAAGGAGCAGTGCCGGCAGGCTGGCTGTCTCTGTTCAACCAACGGTTAAGCGTGCTACCCCTTCCAGGCTCCCCACGACTTCGCGAGCGGAGGAGAAGCCGGCGAGCGCGAGCGAAACTGGTCGGCTCAGCAGCCAGTGTGCCGAGAGCTGCCCTAGCGCGTCTTTGAAGCACGTTACTTACTTGATTTGAGCTGAGCTCATCTCCCGTTTCATCGTTTATCTAGCCACCAAGGTGAGTCTGACCAAACACGAGATACCTATATCGCGTAGCTCCCTTCGCGGCGACGATCGCTCATCTGTCCGCGACAGCCGCACTCGGCGTCTTTTTCTCTTGGGCGACAGGGAAAAAACACCGGCCGCCATAATGGCAGCATCAGGGCAGGGCGTTGCTCTCGCGAGCAGCGTTGACGCGCGTGGCCCCGTTCACCTCATCATCCAACGGTTTACAAGCTAATGCTATTTAACGAGCCCCGACCCTATCGATCTAACTATTGTTCCCTGAAAATAGGTTATAGGCCCTCCTACATTTCCCACGCTGTGTCGCAGTTCCCGCGTCAGGTGGTTTTTCGTCTGATCCTCTTCTGCAAGTGGTCGTCGACGTCACTGCGTCTATTATTAGAATGCTCGTAAGAGAAATGCTCGTGAAATTTTCCTCTTGCGAAGAGAAAAGACACGCACATGTGTGACGTCGGTTCGGTTTCACCCTTTTTTTCGCTCCGTTCCAATTTCTGATTGACGATCTCTAACTCCACCTCTTAGGAGTTTTCTTTCTATTATCGCATTCATCAAATTGGATCATCCTTTGTAATTACACATCTACGTGGAGAATTATTCGACTGGGTCGCTTTAAATTGTTCCGAACTGACATGTCGCGATGCGGATTCATTAAGCTCTGGGACACGAGATGAGCTTTAAATGATTTCAATAAGCCTAGTGGTTTCAAAAAAAAATCTAACGTTAGTCACGGAATAATAGTCAAAGATCACCAAAAGGCAGCTTTGATTGATGTTAAAGACACGTGCGAAGTGAAAGAGCTTTTTAGGTTAGTGGCATGATCAAGCACGACGCGTACACGGGTCTCCTTAAAAGCTGCTCTTAGCCCAAAAGCTCATTCATACACACGAAAAGGTGGTTCTGTTTGTATTGATTTTTACTTTTATCAGGTTTCGCCAATTATTGGGGTTTCAGATACGTGAAACGACATTTTTATGATAATGAAATTGAGATCTCTATTCAATCCGAAAAATCAGAATTATTGTACTTATACAAAGTGATTGCCACATAATTGTAATTGTATTAAAAAGCAACAATTTAGTGTAAACATTTATAATTGAACCTGATAAGTCATGGGTCATTCTCACTGTTATTAAGCTCTATCCTACGGAATTTCTCTCCCTCGTTGACACACATACTTTCAACAGATTAACGGTACATTCTCTGGGAAAACGCGTCCCTACAGTATGCTCGTTTACTGAAATGGTACGAGTAGATTCGATAATATTTGAAATGGATTGATGAACAATCCGCACAGATGAATCATCCGTTAGATGATATGATTTTCGCTTTATGATATACTTAGTCATGCATGTGCAGCATTTTTTAAATCTTACGCAGACGTGGAAGTTTGACGACCCGCTTGATTCAACAATTTTTTTACGCACTCGAATCATTTTCATAATTCTTTATGATGATGAAACTTTATACTTTTGTGAAGCTTAATCAATAACGGTCATCAAAGTTTATAATTTATAAATAAATTTATCATGCCGAATGCCATGTCAATCATAAATGCATAAATTTCTAATAAAATATCGCTGTCATTCTTGTCTATTCTACTTTTGAAAATAACTGAAAACTCGAAGTCGGTTCTTATATGTATTTCTATACGTATTTAATACAACAATCAATTATATAAAAATTTGTAATTCATTCACGAATAAAATGAAATTTAAACAAAGAAGTATGAATTTGTAAATTTTGAAATTACTCATTGAATAATTTCTTACGTTAACCAAAATTTCGGATAAATAAAAAAATGATCTTCCATCTTTGGCAACATTCTTCCAACTTTGCGCGTTTACGAAATCCTCAAATTAAAAATTTCGTCACTTGAAGATATTCGTTTGGCTCAAGGCGAACTCGCGTAACTGCAAAATTCAGTAGACCAGTTCCTTTTCCGCACAGGATCGCGTATCCGGAAAGTACACCTGACCAATATCAAAAACTCCGAAATTAGTCAATAATGACTCTCTCTCTCTCTTTCTCTCTCTCTCTCTCTCTCTCTCTCTCTCCTCTCTCTCTCCCTCCCTCTCTCTCTCTCTCTCTCTCTCTCTCTCTCTCTCTCTCTCTCTCTCTCTCTCTCTCTCTCTCTCTCTCTCTCTCTCTCTCCTCTCTCTCTCCCTCTCTCTCTCTCTCTCTCTCTCCTCTCTCTCTCCCCTCTCTCTCTCTCTCTCTCAACAGCTGACATTTATCGAAAGAGTACTCGCGGGAGTTGACAAATACAAACAACCTCATACCCCAAACATCAATTCCTCGGTAATTACGAATTGTTCTGAAGAGCCACGTGAGCGCGAAATTTCGACTGTTGATAAAAAGTCCGCGTGTACGTACGCGTGACGTCTTCATCGACGTGTCATGCTCGGCGCTTCAAGTTCGAGAAAAGAGGGGCAGCTAGTTTCCCTACCACCGCGAGTCTTCTTCCATATATGGTAAAGAGCGCGGGGATTGGACGAGGGTGGTGCGGCGGTAGGGGAACTATAGTATAACTTAGCGGCGAGTTGCTGTCGAGCCGACATTCACGGTGCTACGAGTGTGCATATCACACGCACCTTTTTTCTACCCACGCCATTACCAAAATGTAAGTTGTTGGTTCGTTTTGTGAACTTCACACCCGCCGCAGCGTACGTTGTCTCATTAGTGCTTTAATTTTCTTCGAGGTTTTTAATCTTACAAATCCAGTTGGGACAGTGCGTGGGTGTTGCTGCGGCCACCGGCTTTTTTTTAGCGCAGCCAAGTGAACGTCGATAGTGTTGTCGTTCCAGTGATTTCGGAGCGCAGTGCTAACGCGAGTGTTTGCGAAAATGAACGAAGAATCCGAGCGAAAGGAAAATCGTATGGATATCGAGTTGCTTTGCTCGGGAGACTTCCGGCGATGTGCCGGCTTATCGACCGTCGAACGCTGGGCGGGGCAGGGTGCGGCTGTGCTGGGACGCCGCGCCTCGAGAACCTTCGACCGCTGATTCTTTTCTCTTTCTCTATCCGGCCTTCTCTGCTTGTGCTCGCCTTTTTTTCTCTCTCGGCTTCTTTCCACCGACATAATACCTATGTGAGAGATCTTCCGCGAAGTCGCTTGCCGGACTTGAAACGGGAGTCGGTCACGTGACAAACGCCGGGGGCGTCTCTCGCGACGGTTACAATTCAAGATGTGGTCAGTGATTCTCACGAGTCTGCTTTTATCGTGAAATACGTGTCTCACAATTCTAGTTAGATCTAAATATTTTTGTTGCATGATTTCATAATGATTGCATGTCAATCAATTAGACAGCCGCGTGACTCATATACCTCGACTGCATACCCGTGAATCATTCAAGAATGTTCGATAAATTTTTCAAGTGTTTGTTGAATGAATAACAGGAATTGGCAACTATTGGCCATGATAAGTTTAACTTATCCAAGGTATCTTTATTTTTCAATCGGTTGTGTCATATAATCGTGTCAAGGTATTCATTTACAATTAAATTTTTTCTATTTCAAAATAAAAATGATAAAATTCTACAAAATATTCAAATAGTGTTAAATTTAATAAATTACATGATTGAACGTGCAACTGTAATCTTCCGAGGATAACTTAATGATAAAACTATTTTTCGAAATTTTTATTTCGATTGGAAATTCTATTTTACTCGTTGATAACGTTGATTCCTCCTTGCGTTCACGAAGTTTGGAAAAAGTTCTAAATAAATCCAAGAGAATGGCCATTTATCGTCCAAACCGGCAAACTAGACGCTGCGTATTATACTAAGTTAACTATAATAGTCAACTAAGAATAACTAATGTGCATTGATTTGTTTTGCAGCTAAAACCACACAATCACAATGTGCGACGACGAGGTTGCTGCACTCGTAGTTGACAATGGATCCGGTATGTGCAAGGCCGGTTTCGCCGGTGACGACGCTCCTCGCGCCGTGTTCCCATCGATCGTGGGCAGGCCCCGCCACCAGGGTGTGATGGTCGGCATGGGCCAGAAGGACTCGTACGTCGGCGACGAGGCCCAGAGCAAGAGGGGTATTCTAACCCTGAAGTACCCGATCGAGCACGGTATCGTTACCAATTGGGACGACATGGAGAAGATCTGGCACCACACCTTCTACAATGAGCTACGCGTGGCCCCCGAGGAACACCCCGTGTTGCTGACCGAGGCCCCGCTGAACCCCAAGGCCAACCGTGAGAAGATGACGCAGATCATGTTTGAGACTTTCAACACGCCCGCCATGTACGTGGCCATCCAGGCGGTGCTGTCGCTGTACGCCTCCGGTCGTACCACCGGTATCGTGCTCGACTCCGGCGACGGTGTGTCCCACACCGTGCCAATCTACGAGGGTTACGCTCTGCCCCATGCGATCCTTCGTCTCGATTTGGCCGGTCGCGACTTGACCGACTACCTCATGAAGATCCTCACCGAGCGAGGCTACTCCTTCACCACGACGGCCGAGCGCGAAATCGTCCGTGACATCAAGGAGAAGCTGTGCTACGTTGCGCTGGACTTCGAGCAGGAAATGGCTACCGCCGCCTCTTCGTCTAGCCTGGAGAAGAGCTACGAGCTACCCGACGGTCAAGTCATCACCATCGGTAACGAGCGCTTCCGTTGCCCCGAGGCCCTCTTCCAGCCGTCGTTCCTGGGTATGGAGGCTTGCGGCATCCACGAGACCACTTACAACTCCATCATGAAGTGTGACGTGGATATCCGTAAGGATCTGTACGCCAACACCGTACTGTCGGGTGGCACCACCATGTACCCGGGCATCGCCGACAGGATGCAGAAGGAAATCACCGCTCTTGCGCCCTCGACCATGAAGATCAAGATTATCGCGCCGCCCGAAAGGAAATATTCCGTCTGGATCGGTGGCTCCATCCTCGCCTCGCTGTCCACCTTCCAGCAGATGTGGATCTCTAAGCAGGAGTACGATGAGTCAGGCCCATCAATCGTCCACAGGAAGTGCTTCTAAGCGCCAAAGACAACACACACATACACACACGACTACCCCTCGAGTCTCCCGCGAGCGCGCACGCTTAAGGATAACGATAACGATAACGATAACGATGACCGTGCTCACCTTCGCTTGTCACGCCCATTGCGCGCCGCGCGCGCGAGATCTCAAACCAAATTTTCAAGCGGCAACGAGCCGCGGGGCTCTTTCCTCCGCGTGTGTGTGCCTTTGAGGTGCTCCCTACTCCATCCTTTATTCCTCGATAACTCAAGCTTTTTTACCAATCTCGATCTTCGGCTGCTGCTGCTGCCGCCGCGCGAACAGGCGCACATGCACGGACCAAGAGCCCCGAAGCTCTCATTAGCTAGGATTCTCGCGTTCGAGTTGTGTTTCGAGAGAAAGGTACGTGTACTACCCATGCATTGTAATCCGTTTGTTGGTTTCCTTCATCAAATTATTATTATAATTTTTTTAACAACGGTTTTATACATTCCCTTTTATTCTTTCACTCACGTACACACACGACTTTAAGACTACTTTAGACTTATGGGATTATCAAAATAAAAATCTGAAAAACAAGCATTGTATTCTTGCTTCTCGTGCTTATCGAATGCTATGAAATACTCTACATTCACAAAACTTATGCTTCCCTTTGATTCCTTGATCTTTTTTTCAATCTATCTCTGTATCACCGTAATGTTCAATTGAAATCCAAGATCTATGACGTGATCATTTTAAGTATTGAATTTAATTTTTTGTAATCTATAATATTCATTGTCTCATATTTCGAGGCACAAGCTTAATATGGCATTAAAACTATACATCTCCCATTTTGTCATTCATCTTTGTAATTTATAAGACTCGATTTTGAACGTACTATAGTTTTTATCATTAAGGATAATATATATCCATTAGGTTTATACTTTCAATTCAATAAAAGTTATTTTCAATTAAAGAGTTTGTTTCCATCCATTGTTTTCTCTTAATTCATAATAATTTGCTTTAATATTCTAGTTAATAGATATGTTTGATATTCATTGCATTTATGTTTATTCCTAGTGGTTCATCTATTTTTACATATTTCAATATATTTCAACACTGAATATTACTTTTTACTTAATAAAAGTGGTATGTAAAAAGTAAAATTCTGTATAAAAAAACATACGTATTCTTTGTCTATACCGTCGACTCTTACGGGAATTTCACTTAATCGCTAACTACTATTCAGAGGACTAAAGAATCGTCTGTGTCAACGAATCCCAGAATAATTTTATAAAATATTAATTAATTCTAACACGAAGAAAACACGAATCAAGAAAATAAAAAATGTATGTTGCATTTCTTTCTGACTAAATCCGACCATAATTGGAATTAGAAGATACCATTTTCGTTATCAATTTTTATTAGCATGGTTTTAAGTAATCGCGCGTAACTCGTGAATTTATATAAACTTAAGCAATTAAATTCGTCATTAGTTGAAATAACACTAAAAACATACTAATAAAATTTGTGGAATTGATATGGCAAGACTTATAATTCTTATTGTCGCAAAGAATTATGATACAATGGTCTGCCATATACATATAGAAGAGAAAGCTGTTGTGTAAAAAAATCAATAAGAGTAGTTATTCATCGTTAGGTAAATGTTGAAAATTCAAGTGAAAGGGATAAAAGTACGTAGGCGCGTAAATGAGCTACAAGAGGAAATAAATAATTTTATATCTAGTACTTGATGATAGTTTAATGGGGTATTGGTAGAGCAATTAATATGAATGTGTATCAACAATATCTAGTATCAAAGATTAATATTTAACATTAGAATTAAAATATTCAACGAGAAACATTAGTCAACAATTATTTTTTTATCTTAATTAGGATTTCGCTCTAACCTTATCGTGAATTTTTAAGAAATATCCACAGGATTCATAAAATTTCTTAGTATGTGCTCACTGAAAGATTAATTGTTTTAACACATTAATTGTTTTCCATGTATCCGATAATGCTAAATCGAAGACAGCTCTGAAAAAACTGAATATAATTTATTATTGCAACATTTTACGAGTTTCTATATCAAAATTATCTAAAGTAATTCCTATTAAATTATAATAATGATATGCGCCACGAGCTAAATATAATCTTATAATTAAACACAAAACAAATTATTAAAGCTTTCATATTGGAGTTTCGTAAAATATTAAAAATTGAAGTAGAAAATCATAGTTATAAATAGAGAATGTCATAAACATATCGCTTTTCTTTAACTGACTGTAATTACATATATTATCTACTTTAGAAATAATTTCCATATACTTCTTGATGGATTACAAAATTCGAGCATTAAAATACAAACACGAGTGCCAATCTAATTTTCTTCTACAAATTCTAGTAAAAATATTTTGAAGCAAGGAACTGATTAATAAATAAAAATTACAGATTGGGTCGTTAATAGAGAACACTGACGTAAAGATGAAAATGAGAATTTAATTAAATAAGTTCTGCATTTTACAAAGCAATAAGTTACATAAGTTTCTTAAACGACAATTGAACAACTAACATAGAGTCTTTATACTTTCTTTATACATAAAATAAACACGTACATCTAAAACGATTTCGATTAACAGGTATGACACCTAGTATCGCATACACGTACTCACATGTGTCTTGAATCTGAAAAAGCGTAATGTTTTTGTAGCGATGCTTCTAATTCGTGGAAACATCACTGAATTGCTTCCTTTTTCCATTACTTTTAACGATAAGGCGACTCAGAACAATAAACACTTGAAAACAAATTATGAAGCTTCTACGAATTATGAGTGATGTTGATTGGTGTAACTTATTCAAAGAGATAGAAAGTGTAACAATGTTATCGTTATACAAAGTAAAGAAATACTAAAATGTTTTTTTTAATAGTTCTTATTCTGTACCGCCTCGAAAATGGTTAGTGTATTATTGCCTCAGTACAACGGAGGTAGGACCTGATTGCACTTAGGCGCTCAACTCAAGAGATTTTGCTCATCTGGAAGACTAAGGGGATCCGACTTTTGACGATAATTGCCCACATTAAAGAGCGCTAGCACCAAACAATAAAATCGGTCTTGGTCTTTTATCAGCAGTATGAAAAAATGTGTAGGCTCCGTCATAGGCTTTTCATGGCTTTGATAGAAATGCTAACGTGTAAAGGGCAACAGTCCCTCGTTGATTACTATATTTAAAGAGATGTATACGCGCCCGTTTATATTCTATTAAAAATTAAGGCTATACGACGTATTTGCTTTTGAACGGTGCAGCAGCACGTCCTAGCGAACGTACAGAGCTTTGATTGATTGTTTATGTTTTGTTTGTATCAGTAATTTCTTTGGAGTCTGATATCCTGGAAATTCCTGAAAGTTAGTAAGTTTCGGCCATTCTGCTTTCCGACGTTTTCATGTTTAGATCCCATTGAAGTCGGTCGACATTGCAGATCAATCGCTGAAAGACAGTTGCCAATCAGTTACCGGACTCGCATCAAACGCATACGTGGCTAGGATGCGCAGAAGGAAAATTACCTATCGCTATTGTCGCTGGTGGCCTCCTCGCTGTTGTCGAGGTCAAGATCACCTTGGATGGCGCTCTGAAGATCGTCGATCCTCTGCAAAGCGAGCCTGAGATCGTCCTTGACGACCTTGGTCTCTGCTTCGGACGCCTCGAGGGCTTTCTCTAGGTCCCGACGTACCCGCGTCGCATCCTGCTCTCTGGCCGAGGCCGAGGCCGCTTCCTCGCGCGCCTCTCGCAACGATCGCTGCAGCCTTCGCATGGCGTCTTGGGCCGTTTGCTCCTTGGTGCGCAGGAGTGCTGTTTCCGACTGTAGCTTGTCCACGGTCTCCTTCAGTCGCGCTATTTGGGTCTGAAAAACCGGACGACATTAGCGACATTAGCGACATTAGCGACATTAGCGACGCAATCTACCGACCCGGCAAGCGGCATTGAACGATAAAATAAGAAGGTATCTGTTTTACCTCCAATCGCGCTCTCGTCGTCTGCTCCAGCTCGAGTTTGCTCTCGAGCTCCTTGGTGCGGAACTCGAGACGTCTGGTGGCAAGGCTGTTAGCCGTCGGGTCGCCAAGCTGCTCGACCGACTCGATTCGCTGGCTTAGCTCGGTGACTTGTTCTTTCAGCGAGGCTTTCTCGGCCTCCAAGGCCGCGATCTGCACCTGTGCTTCCTGCAAGTGCGCCTGCTCAGCGGATACTTGCTGAACTGTGGCCCGGTATTTTTTCAGCACCTGTAAGCGCATCCGACTCGGTCACTTGCTTTCTACGATTTCACAACTCGAGCGTGGCGCATTGTGCTCATTGAGCAATATTTTAATCACGAAAACTCGCCAAGCGCCCGCTCATTAATTTCACTGGACTTGTACTGGGCCGACGTAAGGTGCATTTTAAAAGAATGGAGCAGAAAGTGCAGGATGAAAGCATATAAAGTTAAATGGATTCTCGATGAACATTAATTATTTCAGTTGGGAAAATGAACGCCCCTGAGCAATTCACAATAACTGTTTAATCACAGAAAATTCGCACCTCAAAATCAACATCTCTTTGACATTTACAATACTCACGAAATTGAGCATTCGTTCCCTACATTTGTCATTTCCTTCCTCAACAACGTCAAAAAAAAGAAGGCAAATAGCAAAGGCATTACTCCACTTGGCCAGTAGAATCTCATTAAGCGGTAAACTGCAAATTGGTGGGAGTAGTAGTTACCTCGGCCAGCTCCTCCTCGTTCTCCTCCAGTTGCGACAGCAGCTCGGAGCGTTCGCGGTTGGCCGCGTTGGCGCGATCCTCGGCCTCGGAGCGCTGCCGCGAAGCTTCCTCCAGCGCTGCCTGAGTCTCGCTCAGGTCCTGCTCGAGCACCTGCTTGGCTTTGACGGCTACTGCCCTCGCGCACTCGGCGTCCTCGAGCTGGTTCTTCAAGTGGCGGAGAGCGGCTTTGCCGGTGGAATCGCCCTTCGAGCGCTCGAGCATTGTCTGGGCATCCCTCAGCAGCGCTCGGGTCCTCTTCAGATCTCTCTTCAGTCTGCAACGGATCAAGAGCTGCGGCGTTAACGCGCCGCGCGCGGCAAAAGTCGCGGAGCAAGGGGCAGGGAAGGGGGGAGGGGAGCGTCACGGTACCTCTGGGTGGTCTCGGCCTCCGCTGCGCGCTCGGTTCTGTCCTGCTCCTCGAACGCGACGAGTCTGCGCTCTAGTTCGTGCTTCTCCCGGAGCACGACGGTGCGCTCCTCGTGCTCGTTCTCCAGCTGTTGCTCGAGGGCCTTGACCTTCTTCATGGCGCTCCCGCGGACGTCCTCCAGCTCCTCGTCGCGCTGCTGCATCTCCTTGCGCATCTCCTTGCGCTGCTGCTCGATGCTCATCTCCAGGCGCAGCTTGGCTTGTTCGAGCAGCTGCACTTGGCCGGCCAGGTCGTCGAGCTCCTCTTCCTGGTCCTTGAGCTTCTTTTCCAGCTCGTGTTTGGCTTTCTTGAGCTGCGCCACATCCTCCTCGGTCTTACCGACGAAGGTCAGCTCCTCCAGCTCCTGCGTGAGGGTGTGCAGTCGCTCCTCCTTCAGCTCGATCTCCAGTCGCACGTCCTGCCGAGCGAAAAGGCGCGCGAGATGAGAATCGTCGGCTCGCAAAGACGGCGCTCCTTCTAAGACTTACGCTCAGGGTATGCTCGATGGTAAATTTCTCAGCGATGGCAATTTCCTTCTCCCTGGCGAGTCGCTCTCGCTGGGCGCGCTCCTGCCTCAAATCATCCATGAGATTTTGCGTTTCCGAGTCGAACCTGCGGTGAGCGAGAACAATGAGAGTCGGCGCGCACGGCAACGCCGGCAGGAAAGATAAAGAGAGAGAGAGGGAGAGAGAGAGAGAAAAAGCGCGGCTTCGCGCACGTGAGAAAAGCGGGGCAAGAGCGCGAGAAGACGTCGGGGCGAAGAAGAGAGAGAGAGAGAAGAAGAATGATGAGAACGTGGGTGAAGAGGTGGATCGAGAGTCGAAATAAAAAGGGGCCGGGCGGAAGGCCGAGAGATATAATTGTGCACTGACTTCCGCTGTTTCTTCTCCAGCAGGTTGTTCCTGGCGGTCTGCTCCTCGAGCAGCAGTCTCAGATCGTGCATCTCGCCGTTGAGCTTTTGCACGCGGCGCTTCCACTGGCCGACGACCTGTCGCTGCTCCTCCACCTCCTCGTATGCGTCCGCCAGCTGGAAAAGCACGAGCGTCACCGGCGAACCGAGCCCTCGCCATCCTCGCGAGCGCGCGCGCGCGCTCACCTTTTTCTCGAGCTGCTTCTTGAGGCCGACCAGCTGCTCGAGGTCGTCCTCGTGCTGCTGGGCCATCTTGCGCTTGATGAACTCGAGCTCGCGCATGGCGTGCTGGTAGCGCTGTCGGTAGACGCCGCCGTCCTCGCCGTCCTCGGCGTCGGAGGCCAGGCCGTTGAGGTCGGCCGCACGCGCGTACAGCAGCTCCATCTCCAGGCGCTCGGCCTGCTGCTGCAGGCTCTTGTTGCTCTCGTGCACGTCCTGCAGCTCGCGCTCCAGGCGCAGGCGCTCGCTCTGCTCCGCGTCGATGCGCTCCGCCGCCAGGGTCGAGGTCGAGTGCTCCTCCGCGAAGTCCGCCGTCATCTCGCTCAGCTGCTCGGTCGCCACGGAAGAAAAGCCGGCGGTTAGTCGTGCGCCAGGGGCAGGACGGCGCGGCAGCTCGGGGGGCGCGTCTCTCGGGGGGGGCGGGGGCGGGGCGGGGGCGGGGGCGGGGGGCGAGGGCCGAGCCGCGGCGGGCCGGGCCAGAGACCTCGTCGTCGCGCAGCGTGGCGTCCTCCTCGGAGAGCCGGGACGCGGGCCTGGAGGCGCTGCTGGCGCGGCTGAAGTAGCGGAAGCCCCGGATGCGGATGTTGGTGGCGCTGCGGCTGCGCCCGAGGCCCGACGCGTCGAGCGGGCCGTCGTCGGCGCCGCCCGCGCGCCCGAGCCGGCGCCACTCGTGCATCACGTGGTCGGTGCGCCGCAGGAAGCCGGCGATCTTGTCGCTGAGGCAGGCCGAGGCGGTGCGCGGCTCGAGGTGCGCGGCGGTGGGCCGGAAGCGCTGGCGCACGCGCTGGCGCTCGATGCCCAGCACGAAGTTGAGGCTCGCGTCGAACACCACCGGCGCCTGCTCCGGCGGGTCCGGCTCGGTGGGCGCGCGCTTCGGCGGCGGCGGCAGCGGCGGCCGGCCGCCGCGGGGGCCGGCCGGCGCCGCGGCCCGCGGCTCGTAGCAGCCGGACGGCGCGAGCGGCATGGCCGCGGCTACATGCCCGGTCGCTCGCGCGGCTGCGTCGGCGGTTTCGGCGCGCGCACCTGTTGCGGCACCGGAGCGGCAGCGAGGAGGAGAGCGAAGCGGGACGGCCGAGGCTCGACTGAGCGTCGCGACGGCGGCCGCCCGCGTTGGAGGTGGTCACCTCGCGGTTATTCCGAGCCGAGGAGCGCGGCGACCGGCTCGTTGGAGACGCGCCAATCGGGCGGCGCCGCGCCGCGTGCACCGGCGGCATCGACAGCCTCTCGTCACGCGGTTGCGCGCACCTCGGCCAAAATTACTTGCACCGCCGACCGGCGCTCGCGGGGCTCGGAGCTGCCTGCCGGCAAGGTGCAGCTGCGACGGGCGAGCCACGTCCGCTCGACGATAGCCGCCCAAAGCCACGCCGCGACTCGGCGTAAAAATAGCGCGTTTAGTTGGTGATCGGGGAAAATCATCGATGGCGTTTGGACGGCGAGCTTATTTCGAACGGCCGCGCCGCTCCGAGGCGGCGCTTCCGAATCTAGACAACAAGTCAAATATAGAACAGGCATACGGGAACAGGCTAGTCCGGTTAATCTCGAATAAATAACGCGCGCAAGAGGATCATGGCTACACGCGGGTCGCGAGTGATGCGACCTGTTCCGAATGTCCCGATAGGCTTCCGCCGGCTATTGATAGTTGGCGGGCGAGTCGCTCCGCGGGCTCGCGACGATCGCTCGACGCGCGCAAAAATCGAGGGCAGAGCGCTAATCGGCGAGCGCAGCTCCGCGCGAGCCTGTCCGTCCACGAAATGCGAGCGCGAATCGGGCGAGCGACCTCGATGAGCCGCGCGCGCGCGCCAATTATCCGAGTCGCGAGCGCGCGGAATACGCCGCGCTCGATTAGCGCGCGCCGCTCCGCGGGCTCGGCCGCGCGAAAGTGTAACCGAATTCACGCGCACGCGCGCTCGTACGCCAGTCCTCTCACATATATCGCGTACCGTTTTCTTACATCCGACGCGCGCGTCCGCTCGAGTTACGACGCACGAAAGTTGATTGCGATTGTTGTCTTTTCTCTCTCTTCTCTTTTACCGCTTCCCCTCGCGACTTCTGCTGCTTTTACGAGCATTCGGCCAACTCGTCGATTTTTTGCGCTCCGGGGCGAGAGCGACGGACAAGGCGACTCTGCGAGTTCTCGATCCGAACTAAAGTGTCACGTGTTGATAGAAAGAGAGAGAGAGAGAGAGAGAGAGAGAGAGAGAGAGAGAGAGAGAGAGAGAGAGAGAGAACGACTCAAAATTCAAATCAGATAGACGTGTTTACCGCGTATTTTTAGCAGAACGCGCGTGCCGACAGGCGCGACGAGTGAGAAAGGTGAACTCGGGGAGCGAGCGTTCGGTTCTGTCGCGTGCTGCGTTCGAATCCGGGTCGCCGGATCAGGTGCGGCGCTCCGCGGAGTGACCGACCGGTCGAGTGGTGCGGGCGCGCGCGCGCTGCACTCGGTTCCACTGCGGATTGGCTTCGGCTCGATTAGGCGAACCGACTTCCGAGCGGACCCCGGAGGCCTTCGATCGTTGCTACTCGTTCAACGACCTCGCCGCCTCAGCCCAGTTTTGCCTTTCCATCGTTGCACTCGCGAACGTCTCGGCATCGGCCGGCGAACGACCGTCGGCACGGTCGCCGCAATTGGCCTCGCTTTGAAATGGCCAAGGAGCGTCCGCCAAAGATCGAAGCGGTCGCGTAGAGAGGCAAAAACAATCCAACGATGAAAAGCTCGTTGGTCGCATTATCAGCTCGACGGTATACAAAGAGCAAAAAGGAGTAACGCGGCAACAAGAGGTGTAGAAGAGAGACACGCCAAGTAGCAGAAAAATGAAGGATTCTGTGCTTTTTGCCCGGCCGCCTTTCTACATCCTCGATATTAACAGTGCATATCGGAGTGCTCAACAAAGCGGGCCTTTGTCGGGCGGGTCTGGCTGGCAATCCACGAGAGGTTCACTCGCAGAGATCTCGCTCCAACTTTGGCGCGCTTCGAGGCGAGCGAGTCGGTTCGATTAATTTCATCAATTAACGATTTAAACGAGAGCAGCGAGAAGTTCGTCGGGCGGCTGATAAAGGGCAGCAATTACAGTGGCGTCGCAGGTAAACGAGAGACGCGCACAACCGGCGGCGGCGGCGGCGGCGGCGGCAGCAACGACGACAACGACGACCGCGAAGAACGAGAAGAAAGAAGAAGAAAGAGCAGCGAGAAAGAAGAAGAAAAAGAGGAGGAGCGCGAGGAGCGGAGGAAAAAGGCGACTGCGAGCGCGTCAAGGTCGGCGGGCGGCTGCCGCTGGCGCTGCCCTTTGCGTCGGCTCGTTAGCCGGTTTGCGGCCCCTCGCGCGCGGCGCGCCGACGCGAGCGCGTCCGCGGCGTTTCGCGACTCACCTTGGCCTCGAGCCTGTCGTTGTCGTGTTTCAGGTGGTTGCGCTCCTGCTCCAGACGATCCACCTTGGCGCGCAGCACCTCGAGCTCCTCCTGCAAACGCCAATCATCAGATCGCATCGGTTACTCCGCGCCGATTCGCCCGTCGCGCCTGCCTCCTCCAGCTTCGAACGACCCGACGCACGGCCGTCCCGTTCGGTGGCGCGGTTGCCGGGGCTGCGCTCGTCGAGAGTCGGTCGCGGCGTGCCGATAGCGCGAGCGTTGCTCTCTCGGCGAACTTGATATCGCGAAAGGAAATCCCGCGCGCTGATTGTGCGTCGGTAAAATAAAACTTTCGCCGGCTTATCGGATCGGCAATTTTCCCCGCCAGCTCTCGAAGTCGGCGATTTCCTCGCGAGGGACTTTCGTGCCCTTTTCTCCGCTCTTGGCGAGCGCGTGGCGTCTCCGATTACCGACCGCGTCGCTCGCGGGAGCTCCGAAATTGAATGTGGGCCAAGCTCTCGCGGTCGTCGCACGGGATCTACACCGAGCGAGCGGAAGCGCGACGAACGAGGAGGACAAGCGAATCGATCGCAGGCTGGTCCGGCGCCAGGTTTTTGCCATCCAAGCGAGAGAGAGCGAGCGCGAGGGGAGAGGCGACCAGCTTCCTCTCCTCTTCGAGCGTTATTTTTTTTTTCTTTTTTCTCAGTTTTTTCTTCGTTTTTTCTTAGTTTTTTCTTTTTCTTTTGGACGAGCGTCGAGAATCATCTCTCGCCGACGCGGCTTTGCGGTAAACACGCTGGCCAAGCGAAACTGCCAGCGACGAGGTCTATTCCGAGTCAGCGAAAGTGGAGACGAGGCAGTGTCCACGTAAGCTGCTTCTCCGCCGCGGGCAGTGGGAGCCGATAACGGAACGGGATCCCTCGCGTTGGAGGCGTGCGTCGCGGGACGATCGCGCGGCCGGACGCTCACCGTTCTCGCCTTCAGCTGGTCCTCGGTGCGGTGCACGTTCAGCAGCGGCGCCACCTTCACGTACAGCCGCCACCAGGGCCACTCGCGCACCAGCATGAACTTCCTCACGTTGCGCTGGATGCAACGCACCGCCAGGTCTTGCAGCTGAAACACAAACGCGTCGCGGTCAGTCGCGAGCAGTCCGACGACGTCGGCTGCGCGTACCTTGAGAGTGCTGAGCTTGCGCCGAGCTAGGTAGCCCCTGCATCTCGCCTGCAGGAGAATGATGTGGCCGGTGAGCTTCTCGTCCCGCTGCGACTCCAGGCGCTCCAGCGCGCCAGCTCGGAAGAAGATCTGCAAGCACGCGCGCGAATCAGTGGTCCGCGTTCGGCGTAGCGATCGCATCGGGACCGACGCGCCGAGCCGACCGAGCCCGGCGAGACGCGGTCGGAACGAGGAAAGGGGGCCGGCGGGGGGCAAGCGCGATAACAGCGATTTCAAAGGAGGAGAAGGTGCGGCAGCAGGGAAATACACGTGCGATTGCGCGCGCTCTCACACTCCTGCTCTCTCCGCGCGCACGGGCCGTTATAATAAGCCCAGCGCCACGGGCATCGAACACCGGCCCGCACGGTGACGCGATCGGCGAGCACTCGAGGCGCCCTCCGGTCTACCTGCTGCTGCTGCTGCTGCTGCTGCTGCTGTTCTTGGCCGAGGCTGCGCCTCTGCGACGGCTGCGGCAGCAGCTGCTTCTTGGTCGGTTTTGGCGAGTTGTCGCGGCTGTCGATGCTGCTGGTGCCGTTGGAGCTCTTGGCCGGCTGGACGACCTCCTCCTCGGGCTCGGCCTCGGCCTCGTTACTGATGTGGCCGCTGTCCTCCGACGAGTTGCCGTCCGATGCGTAGCCGCAGTTCGATTTCTTGGGGCCCGCTGCGACGGCGGCGACGGCGGCTACGGCGGTGGCAGCGGCGGCGACGACGACGACTTGGCGCTTGCCGCTCGGCCAGCCGTCGGCGAGCTTCGGGCCGGCCTCCGGCGCCGCGTTCTTGCAGTTAAAGAAGTTGACGAGGTGCTCGAGCTTGGCGCTCTTGGCGCTCTTGCCGGCCAGGTCGACGCTGAGGCTGCTGCTGGACTTGCTGAGGCCGCGGCGCTCGTCGGCGCCGGAGAGCACCTGACAGCGCTCGATCTGGCGCTGCCAGTTGCGACGAACCTCCTGCACGTGGCAGCCGTCGCGGCCGGGCGCGGGGCACCTGCTCGGGGCGCAGTGCAGCAGCTGCAGGCTATCCTGGCTCTTGGCGAAAGCGCGGCTCTTGTCGAGCGCCTGCCTCTGCTGCTGCTGCTGCTGCTGCTGCTGCTGCTGCTGCTCGTCGCGCGGCTCGGTGTTGATCTTGCAGGCGATCAGGCCTATCTTGGCGGCGCAGTGCTTGATGGAGGCCTCGACCACCGCCTCGTCCTCGTCCAGCTGCGAGAGCAGCTGCTCGGCCCTCTTCTCGAGCTCGAGGGTGGTCAGCGGCACGACCTTGGCCTCGTCGAGCCCGTCGGGCCCGGGCCCGACGAGCGGCGGCAGCGCCTCGCGGCAGTTCTCGTAGATGTGCTCGTCGACCGAGCGGTCGACCTCGTCCGCGCCGAGCCGCTCGGGCCGCTGGGCCTTGGCCCGCTCAACGGCTCGATCTGCCTGGGCGCACAGATCGCCGAGAGACTGGCCGAGGTGCAGGGTCGACAGCGGGATCCTGCTGGGCGCCCGGGCGCCCGCCCGGCTCGCCTGCGAGTCCTGCGGCACGCTCCACAGGCTGCTCGCGCGGCTCAGCTGGCGGACCGCGCGCAGCTGCTGCTGCTGGCCGGCTGCCGGCCTCGCCGCCCTGGACTCGGCGCCGGGGCTCTTGGTGGGCGAGGACCTCGGCGCGGTCGCGCTCTGCACGCTCCACAGGCTGCTCGACCGGCCGAGGCTCTTCTCGGGCTTCTTCGGCAGCTTGCTCGCGGCGCCCAGGCCCTTCTTCAGCAGCACTCTGTCTTCCAGAATCGTGCAAGAAGGGCTGCGCCCGCCGTCCCTCGGACTGCACTTCCTCCTGACCGACTCCCTGCCCGCTGCCGCCGCCGCCGCCGCCGCCTTGGTCGCCGGCGACCTGCCGCCCGCGGCGGACTCGCACGCTCTGGCGGCCTTGGGCCCGGCCTGGCGCTGCGGCGGCTTGGCCGGCTGCTGCTCCGTGTCGGCCTTGGGCCTGGCGGCGGTCTGCCTGGACACGTTGGGGCTGCTCTTGGCCTTGGCGAGGCGCGGCGAGGGCGAGCCCCAGGGGGCCGGCGGCTTGGCCGGGCCGGCCACACGGGCGGACGACATGCCAGCGCCAGTAGGTCACGCACTGTCTGCCTCGCGAGGACGCGCCCCGACACTCGCTCTCATCGGGCTCGCCCCGACGGCCGCCCTCCGTTCGCCGCGCTCGACCCTCGCACCTGCAGCGGCGCGCGCGCTCGCGCGTATGGAAGCTGCGGCACCGTTACGCCGCGACCGTTATTGGCCGCGCCGAGTCGAGTGGAGTAAGCGAGAGAGAAAGAGAGAGAGAGAGATCGAGAGAGCGAGAAAGGGAGAGGCGTAGCGGCGAGCACTGCACGCAGGCAAGAGGCGCGCGACCGACTGACGGGCGCGCTCGCGCGAGTCAGGTGTACGCGCACGGAGAGCGGCTGGCCCAGCAGCGTACCCGCGGCACGTAGCGCGCCGAGTGGGCCGGGGGGAGGGGGAGCCGTCCGCGCGGCGAGCGGCCGGTCCGCTCCTCGCTCTCGGGCTCCGCTACGAGCGCCGCGGCCGGCTATCGCCTCGCGCTGCCGAGGCGCGCGCGGCTTCGTTCCCCCTTTCCCCTTCGCTCGCGCCTCCTGTCCGTCCCGTTCCCCGCGTCGCCGACGAGCGGATTCGCGTCCACGTGGCGACCGGGCGCGCGGGGAGCTGCGTCGAACCGGTCGCGGGTCGCGCGTCGCCGCGCCGAGACTCTTCGCACCCCTGATGGCGGCGCCGCGCTAATTGCCGCCAATAATCGCGCCGTGCGCTTTCCGCGTCCGATGGCAGTGTTCTGCTTGAGATTCTTCTCGCGATCTTCGGATTGCCGTGGACGAACGAAATCTCCTCGGACACGAGAGCACGGAGAGAAGAGCGCCGATGGAGTCGCGTCACCGTTGCGGAGCGCCTCTCGCGCGCCTTGGCGTCTCGGGGCTGGACTCTCGGGCTTGCCGGGGCATAGCGAGGAGGAGACAGGTGCCGGCGACGGCGTGTGCGCGCACCCGGAGAGAAAGTGCTCTTGGCCGCGCGGCCCCGTGCGCTTATCTGCCGAGTCTGGCGGGACGCCGGAGGCGGCGGCGAGGCAGCACTTTCTACGTGAAAAGCGAAATGGTTTATCGAACGCGGGCCAGGGCGGGCGGGCGGGCGGCGCGGGGGGTGTGCGAACGAGCGGCAGACGCGCGCGCGCGCTCTCCCTCGAAATGTCGCTCGCGGCGCCGGTAACGCGCGGCCCCGCTTTCTCCGCTTGCCAGATGCGCCGCGTCCGTCGTCGGCGATCGCCGCGGAAAATCACTTTCGGCGCCACGGCGACTTCCGAGGTAGCGGCCGGCGCTCGACCGGTTTACCGGGCAGCGCTCTCGCGCGACGACCGGCCCGTCGACGGCCCGCGTCACGGCCGAGCCCGCGTGCGCGTGCGACGGCCGGCAGCGCTTTCCCGCGCGATGCCCACTGGATTTGGCGCCGACCGGTCACCGCTCTCGGGATTCCCGGCGGCGTGGTTTCTTTTTCAGAGAGCGACTCTCAAGGCGCTCGCGAGTCCGAATACGAGCACCACCCCAGCTTCGCGCGCCTCCGGCGAAGCTGTTTTCATTAAGTCGATACGTCGCCGAGGGAGGAGGAGGGAAGTGGTTGGCCTCGCGGCCGGTTTTCGTGCCGTCGAGAAAAACGATATGGGGAGCAGTCGTACGCGTACGGCTGCGTACCGCGACGACCGCGCGGCGTTCGATCCAAAAAATCGACGACTATTTTCGTACGCCGAGCACTTTCTTTCTCCTCGCTTGTTTTTTCCTTTTGGTCTTTCGCTCTTAAGGGACAATTAAGAGCTGCCTAACGGACGAGCGCGCCTTTCACTCGCTGCTGCGTGGCTTTCTTGCCAGGCCGATAGACCGACGTTCGGGATCGTAAGATGTAAGAAAGAAGGCGACGAACACCCACGTGGAAGGAGAAACGATCCACCAGAGAGACGCAGGCGACGAAACATCGCTGCGGTGGCTGTCGCGGGAGCCTCGGTTTAACGTCGAGAGGCGCTCGCGCGATAGCGACGACGACGACAAGTCGCTCGCGAACGGAGACGAAGGAAAGAAAAAGATCCGTCGACACCGTTCGTTGCGCCCGAGTTGCGCTTTCCCGACCTGGACTCCCGCGCGATTGGACCGACGCGCGCTCTCCGCTCCCCCGACGCCCTGCTACTCGCTTCCGTGTCGGAGAACCGCGCGGCTCGCAAGCTGGGCTTCCGTCGCGACGCGCTCGCTAACGGACACTCGGCGGCGCGGCGGCTCGCGGACCCGCAGCCTCCTGCTCGCGGCCGTGTCCCGTCTGCCGCGGCGCAACAGCTGGCGCTCGCTTGCCTCGCACGGCGGAGCTCCAATTTTGCCGGCGCGTGACAGGTTGCGTCGATTTGCTTTACGACTCGGCGAAACTCGTCCGCGCGGCCGCAGCCGTCGAGCGGCGTTTCGTCACCGCGCCCGGACGCGCACCAAGATCCCTTCGATCTCGGCTGTGCCAGTTGCGCAACGGCGCACAATGGTCCCATTGTTCCCGCGGCTCTTGCCCAACGAATCCTATGGCCGTCGAGATGCTCGCGGCGATGCGCTTCTCTCCGCTCGCGGCTGGCCGCGTGCTCTCGGCCCACGGACGAGAGGGCGTTGCGCGCGAGACGTCGGCAGCCTGAAAGTGCGTCGAGACTTGCGCGGGCAACTTTCCAGCGGCTCGCCTCTGCGCCCCCCCCCCCCCCCGCGCGTCGCCGCGCTCGATTTTGAAAACCCGACCGCAATTATCTCGCGACCAGTCGGTCGGGCCGCGCGAGGATAGCCGGCGATGGCTGGTAACCCAATCGAGAGCCGGTAAACGCGGTACGAGCGCACGGTCGGGGTGGCCTAGGCGCGCGCGCTAATCGACCTGTAATGCACGCGGCAATAGCGATCGCGTACTCGAAGATTAGCGATCCGAATGGGTGCCGCGGCACAGACGGGGAATAGAGGTCGTCGGCTCGATCGTATCGCACCTTTCTCCTCGTCTCTCTCGGAAGAAGGTCGCGGACGCGGCGCCGTCAAGAGGTCGAGCCTCGCGCGGCCCCCAGAGGAAATCGGACCGCATATCGGGTCTCGGGCTCGGCTGCGTGCGCGCGACCATCGCCCGTCGGCGGCCAACGGGGGCCGCGCGAAATAAATTGGCTCGCGCCGGCGCGACGATGCGCTCCCAAGCCCGTTTTCGCCCCCCCCCCCCCCCGCCCCTCTCGCGCGTTCTTGGCTCGCGAGTTCCGGTTGAGCGCGCGCTCCGCGCTGCCGACTTATACGACGAACTCGGCTATTTGTGCCTCGCAGCGAGGGGGATGCGCAGGAGCGTGGGCGCGCGCTTCGCGAAGAGCCTTCCATCGTTCGCTCGCAGCGGCTCGGCGCTCGAACGGCTGGCGAAGGCTGATGCCTCCACTTGCCCGGCCTGCTCCCCGGCGAAACGGCGCTCGAACGTCGGGTGTCCGCGAGCGAAGCGCCGATCGAAACGGCAGCGACGTGCAGTCGGTTCGGCCCGAGCGTTTGCGGCCCTCCTTACCGATTCTTCCGCCCCTCCTCCTCTCTCTGACGACGTCAGACCCAATCGCTCGTTGCCGCGCGGCGCGATCGGCAAATATACCGGCGTCCGCCGCGATCGGCGAGCTATAGCCGGTGACGTTCACCTACTGCGGTCGATCCGTTGAAACGCTGATCGACGCCTGCTCACGCCTCGTGCCAGCTTACGTAAGCGCGACGAGGCGTTCGATTGACACGAGAGAGGCGCCGTTCCGCAACGCGCCTCTCTCTCTCATTCCATCTACCTCTACCTCTTCGCCTCTCTCGCTATCTAACTCGATACGAATTTAACCCTCTGTGGAATCATTCAAGTCTTCGCTTTACGCTTGATCTGCTATTCGGAAACTGCGTTATTAGGCAGAATTAATTCTAATTTTGTTTCTTATTCCATCCGAACATCATCCATTGTAGATTGTCTTACGTATCCCAACTTTATGTCAATAACCAATGTCTTGTTATTCTTAAAAATGTAATTGATCTTTTTCTTGTCATCCTATGTTCTGTGTACTACAAGTGCTATACGGTTCAAATGAACATTAGTATTATGAATACAGTTGATTGGGTTATTGCGTTATTGTATGCTCTTGTGCTCACCTATAGAACTCTCTTCATCTCTACAGATTTTGTCTTGGCTTGCTGTCTTCAAGGATGGGGTGCGAAAATACTTTCTTGTCTTAAACTCTTAAGTTTGACTATTGACCACTCTTTTTGTTTGTATTGTGAGTTACGCATGTATTTATTTATTTTATATTGTTAATTACTGCACCACTAGTCTCTCTTTAAAGCAAGTTATACTCTTCTTGAGCGAGTCTGAACCGTGATAAGACATCTAGTCTTGATTTCCTTTGTTTATGTGTCTTATATATCTTTACGACTTTTTAATGACAAGTTACTGTCTGACGAGATACCTTAATTTTTAATGTGATAGGTCCTTGACCAAAAATATTATATTGTTACATATATGTATGTTTTTTGCTTTAAGGTAAATAAAGGACTATCAATCGATCAATTTACCTTTTACTTCACGACGCATGGAATGATCGGCATCTTTTTCATCGCTGTATTTGGTCATAAATCCATCCTCGACTAACAATCGCTGGATTGACGAGCCGATGGAGCAGTAAAAAGTTGCCTTCCCTCGATGATTCCAGCGCGCAATCGTCAAATTACCACGCAGAGAGAGAGAGAGAGAGAGATACATTTCGCATAATTGAAATCTATTTGATCGCCGCTTTTGTTTCCGCGGACGATCGGCTGATCGTGGCAGTCGGCACTCATTAGTACTCAATGAGGCGTGCAGACCGAATCGGGAGAGAGATAGGCAGAACAGCTCGGCTCGGACGACGTCGGGAGCGTCGACGTGCCGTCGGCTCGAGTAAGGCGAAAAACGCGTCTGGCGTCGACAGCTTCTCACGATACCCGCGCGGCTCCAATTATAACTTTCGCCGAAACGCGCGAGGTACGCGGACTGCGTCGGCGCATCTTGGGCAGAGGCTGCCGTCGGATCGCGGACGACTTTTACAGCCGCAGAGGAAAGTTTGGCGCTCGCTCTCGCGATATCGCAATCGACGCGACGCCGAATCGTGCATTGCGCCCGTCCACTTTCCCGACACGTGATTCCAGAAAGCTCCGGGGCGACTGGTCGACCGGCGCGCGCGGCCGGAGCAACTCGCAGGCTCCGCGGCAATACGTATCTGCTCGACGATCGGAAGCCCAATTAGCGGGCGATCAGCTGCTTTCGCCCGCGAGCGTGTCGACCCGGATTGCGTTCCGTGGCGTCGGCCAAACGGAACGCCGTATTCAAATTGCTGCCAATTTTCCTCTCCCGCTGGGGGACGCCGGATCCAGACGACGAGCGACTCCTCCGAGGCTAATAGGTTTCATCGGAAAGATATTGCCGCGGCAAATTGGCGATTGGCCGACAAAATGAATCGGATTCGATTTCACCGCGGCACTTCGCGTGCTCGTCTCCCCTCCCCCCGCCTCTCTCTCTCTATCTCGAATCGTCAAACCAATCACGTTTGATGGAAAAAAAGGCTGGAATGTAGGCAGGCAGATATTAGAAACCCGCACGAGTCAAGCTTCTTAATATCCGCCAGAGGTGAAAAAAAGTAACGATCGTGAGAGGCCGCGAAATTAGAATGAATCGCGTCTCGATTTCTCTCCGACGAATCGTAGTCAGATAGGTTCTTCTTCTCGTTCCGCAATGTCAACGCCGACTTATATCCGCGTCGTCCTCGCAGCTCCACAGTCGGGGGAACCGATTCGCGAGACGGCGCCGTAAAATGCCGCGCGAGGTCGAGGGAGGAGGCGGGCGCCGCCGGCCCGACCGAAGCGATCTCGCGCAGGCTCGGCGGCGGCCAAATGACTTTATTACAGGCCGTAAAGTCGGGGCGCAGGGGCGCAGAGGTCGCGCTAACGTGGACCCCTTGCCGAGGGCTCCGCGCCGTTTATCGGAGATTCCGAGGCGCGCGGCGTCCGATTCCGCCGAGCTCGTCGAAAGCGAATCCGGCGCGGCGTCTCGTCTTACCTTCGCGTGGCAATCGGAGTCCACGTGGTCTGCGCGGCTGCCGCTACCGCCCAAGACGCGATCCCCGACGACTCGCTCGGGTTCCCCTCGGAGCGGTATCGTGGCGCGAGCGATCGTCCGTTCCGGGCGTCGCGGCGTCAGCGTCCCGGGGGATCGCGAGGGGTAGTGCCGTGCGACGCTCGCGCGCGAACTTTGGATTGTTTCCTTGTGGAAACGCGACGGTGAGGGCTACGCGCCTATACGAATTACGGTGCGCTCCACTATTGTGGCTCGGCTCAACAGCTGCCTGCGTGGCGGAAAAAGTGCAAGCCTTGCGCGCCGTCTACGAAAAACGCTATTATGTGAAAAACGCGATGGGGAAGTGCAGCCGAAGAGTCCCACGCGCGAGATAGGAGAAATATGCATTGCTCGGGGGTGGGAGGGGGGAGGGTTGCACTCGGCAGCGACGCGTCTTTATATAGCCAAGCGAGTACGTTGCCACAAGGACAAGAGGTAGAAAGAAGCCGTCGCGGAACGAGCGACGAAGGGGAGGGAGGAGAGGAGGAGAGCCACCGCCGAAGGCCAAGGCAGGCCGGGCGACGTCGTACGCGGGGCCGATTATCGCGTCGGCCAGTCGACGTGTGCGAGCGCACCACCCATCAAACCTGGGTGAGCGGGAAGTGTGGGGGGGGGGGGGGAGGAATCGGTGCTGCGAACAATGGCGGCGCGCGACCTACCGCAGCCGCCGTGGAAAAAGCGCCCGCTCTTTTCCTCCCTCCTCGCCGCGCCAATTAGTTATCGCGCAAACTGGTTCACCGGCGTCGTCGGCTCTCCGGCTTGCGATTGTTCGGCCGCGAGACAATCGCGCGGCGCCGCGCTCGGGGAAAGTGGAGCGCGCGCGGCTCTCGCTCGCGACCCGACAACCCGATGGGATGACGTCTCTTTTTATTGCGCGACATTCCGAATGCTCTCCCTCCCCCTCGGCGCTGCAGCCGCCGCCTCTTCTTCTTCTTCTTCTTCTTCTTCTTCTTCTTCTTCTTCTTCTTCGACGTCGACGACGACGACGACGACGACGACGACAACGACGATGACGACGACGACAACTTTGATATGCTAATTCCGCTTGGCCTCGCGAAGGCCAACGAAATCGCGCGAATCGTCGGCGAAATTGAAATTCGACGTGCGCGCGGCCGCGAAAAACCCGCTGACGGACGACCTTCGCTGGCGAACCGGCGCCGGTGCCTGCGCGCGGCCGCGAAAAACCCGCTGACGGACGACCTTCGCTGGCGAACCGGCGCCGGTGCCTGCGCGCGCCGCAAGCGAGAGTCGCCGGCCTGTAAATCTCGCAAGCTCGCTCGCTCGCCATTAACATCGCTCAGCGCTGTAAGCGCAACAATTTTTCCTTTATCGCCGGCCGGTGGAGAAGAGCGGTGCTCGGCGACGATTCGCGAGGCCGCGCGCCGATTGATTTACGCCGATACCTCCGCGAGCTCTCGACCCTCGCGCCCACGGGGACCGCGATCGCTGAGTAACGAGCCGTGCCAGTTTTTGAAATACGACCGCTGGTCGCGTCGCGTCGGCTGAAAGCTCCGCGAGAGCCCACGTGTCGCGCAGTTCCCCGGCGCGGCTACCGCGTGCCCCTCGCGATTGGGGAAACCGGAGTGCGCGCAACGCCGAACACCTCCGAAAGGTCAGGCGACCGCGCACAAGTGAGTTCGCATTTGCAGCGGCTGTTTATTCCTATTCGACGCTCGAGAGCTTCTCCGATGCTTCTCTGCGCTGGCAGGTTTCTAGACACCATTGGCGTCGATCGCGGGTTCGACCAAACTCCGGTTCGCTCGTAAATTACGCCGTGTTCTTGTTTTCTTTTCACTGCGCGCAACTTTTAAGGAGATGACACATTGACGCTCTATCCTGCGGATCTTTTATTTAGAATTGAATTCCGCTTAGCCGAGACTTCTGAAAGGGAGGAAGTGACGGTAATTCTACAAACATCTGATAAAGATTACAGTGGAAGTTTGTAATAAGTAGCAACGACATTGTCGCTTCAAAGAACAAAGTGCGCGCGGCATGAAAGTTAATAAATTAACATGGGCAAGCAAGCCATATCAAAGTCAATTAGCCGGAGCTCGCGGGATAAGTTGTTCTCGGTGTAGGCAGAAACGACTGTCGTGACCTTGGCTCGTCGAGCGTCGGGAGGGGGAGGGGGATGCCGCGAACAATCGGAGCGTGCCGCGTCTTCACCTTGACTCGCGATCGCACAGAAGCGCGCGGCGACGAGGCGAGCTCACTCGAGCCGGCAGCCGCGCTTGTATCGGGTGCGCAGAAGGGACACTCAATCGTCCCGGCGCTCCTCCGCGTCTCGCACTTTCAATTTTGACGCTTCGCGGGCGACTTTTATCGCTCGCAAATAGCTTCGAGCGCGCACCCATCCTTTCGCTCTTTCGATTGTTCGCCCCGTGATTTACCGCCCTCTCTCTCTCTCTCTCTCTCTCTTTGCGCTCGCTCCGCCGAGCTACGGCTGCACGCAGATTTACAGCCATGCGCGCTCGCTATCGGGGCTGGAATTCTTCGACGAGCGAACGCCAACGTCGCTTCTTTGGCCGCTCTTTCGCATCTTCGTAATTGGCGCGACCTAACGCATGGCAAATCGCGCTAATTACAAAACACTTGCGCGCGCGGCTGGCCAATCGACGCGTCGCCTACCCGTCGAGGCTAAGCTCTTTCGGGGCTATCGGCTGCGTGACATTCGAAAGCTGCGCAGCGCCTTGCATCTGGAGCACATGAATAAACAATGCCTAATCGCTCGTGCCATTGGGGCTCGTGTGGACGCAAAAATAAGGGGCCTTCGCGAATAATTTACGCGCACTCAGTCTGCGCGCCGAACGAATCGTCGGCTTTCCTGGAATCGCGTCGCCGCGTGCCACGAACACGAGGCGGTTATCCGCTTCTCCAGCCGACATACGTTCCGACGAGGAGTCAGCCTGCCGGGCGTCGGGCGTCGAGATCTCGCTCGGCGATGCGCGACTCGCAGCTACACGTCGCGATTTCTCGCGCCGAGCGTCGGATAATAACAGCGTGTCGGCGTGGAAAAAAAAGGCTGCGCCGGCGCGTGCATTCGCCACGCATCAGCCCCGATAATTAACCGTCGCGGCGCGGTCTCACGAATCCCCAACAGCGGCATTTCTAGGTCTCGTTCCATCGGGTCCGACGCTGCTATCGCAGGTTCTATGGATTACGAACAATGCATTCACCGTGTGCGATGCTGCACCGTTACGACCGCGGCAGGCACACTTCCACGGTTTCTTTCGTCGCCAGTGAAAGTACCGTAGCGCCGGCTGCGCGCGCAAGTCTGATTATGCGTCGAGCCATAGCTTCCGATCGGGCTCCACGCACTCGCCAACTGACTCAAGGCGCAGAGAAATTTCGCGTACCACCGGCTTGTCATCGTAAAAATTCTCTGCGCCTCTCTCTCCCTCCCCCCCCCCCCCCTCTCTCTCTCTCTCTCTTTGTATCTTTCTCTCTCGCCCAGGAAATGTTCCAAAGACGAGATATTCCAAAGAAAAATACAACAATGTTAAAGTTTTATCGTGCACTTTAACGTCGATTTTCGTTCAATGCCAGCAATCGCAGATAACATCGACATCGCAAATGTCGCTGCGATAACAATTTTGTAAACTTGCTTTTTTGCGGACATTCGTCAGCGCTACTCTGTGCCTTTTACAATCAGGCGTGTCACGACCATCGACCCATCATTTTCTAAGCATCCGACAAGAGGTGCATAACTTGTGACCGCGTAGCATCGATCTTGTCGTCGATGCCACTCTTTCCCTCAAACTTTCACCTTCTCACGATTTTTCAAAGGAGCTTGTTGACGAGCAATCGGGAGAAGTACCGAATTGGAAATCAGAGAAACTTGTAGCGCTAAGTGCATTTCAAGTTACTCTATTAGCAGGCAAGCCTTTCGTCAAATCAGACGATTTATATGTAGGAATTTCCGGCTATTAAACGCTTGGTATTTCAAAGTGGTGTTTGGTTCGTCGACTTCGGTTGGGCCAATCTACCATAAATTTGATAATTCACTCTTACCTGGCTTTGTCCCACTCTGTAGGACGCTGGATCGATGTCCACTGATAACAACATGTCTTCGACGGCACGTCTTTCATCGGACACAGGACTTCCCGGACGAGTTGCCGTGTCATTTGACAACAACGCAAATCGTCGCCGGAATTCCCCGAGAGGCATAAATTTCGGAAAGCCAACTTTGTGCAGGCGAACTGCTTCCAAAATTTGACTGCCTCTCACCTAAAAAACATAACGTTGATGACAGTCCGCGTATTAATTAACTTCGAATAAAACTCGTTTCATTTTCGATCGAGCGTGAATGTTTTAAATACCTGTGAACGCAGGAGTGGGACGTTGATAAGATTATCCTCGCTGTGAGTGGTTTTGACAGAAAGGAGAGTTTTGTTTTCAGTGCATCCCGCATTATGCTGCGGTAAGTAACAGTGTATAAATTTCACTCGAGTCCTTCTAAGAGTCTCGATTAATCCATCCTAGAGCAGAAATAGAAATCACATTTGGAATTATGCAAATTTTATCCGCAATAAATATTTATGTTTTTCTTACAAACGAGGCTACAGACAAATATAAAGCAATTAGTAGTATAATTATAAGATAGTAAGCAAATGTAAAACATTCTACAAATTAAAATCTGTATACACAACAGCGGTAAACTACACAAAACGTGAGCAGTACGGTATCGTAATAGCTTCATTGACAATGGCTGAGATTCGAGATTACAAGAGTACTGCTGATAACACTTTTATGACCTAATTATTAAAAATTTTACGCAACCGATATACAGAGAACGAGGCGCAATTTCATTTTCTAAGAAGCATAAAAATTTTATTGCTTAATTATTATTGTGATTACGAATGAAATAATACATACGACAGTGAATTTGACTTGCAAACAGACATTTTTCCGTTTAACAGCGGTAAATGTTCGTCTGATACTAGATGCTCTTCTTAATGACTGAGAACCTTCTAGACCGTGGATTGAGCCACTTAAAGCACTAGAAACTCCAGCACCACGAGCACATACAAATAATCTGCTGACTTCGTCTCTGTAAATGTTTATTATATTTTGTATAAAATGACACATAATTTATGAAGTAATATTGTTAACCAACAGTACCTGGTACTCTCTTGTAAAATACTAATCGCACTTTTAGCAAATGGATTCTCTCGAGTTGCCTTTATCCAGCCAGTGGCGGTGTAGAGAACGGGATTTGTACCTTGCAAATGTTGCAATACAAATTGATTGTTTCCTGGTGCTTTCCTGAGTAGCAGTTGGTGCTCTAAAAAAAAGAAAAAATAAACGCGGCGTCATTTTATATTGTTAAACAACTTAAATTTCAATCATACATTAAGTAATTGTATTACCTCTGTCTCCGTAATATGCAAACAACCGATCCAAGAAGATTTCATCATTACCACCAGAACAAACAGTTTCCTCATCAAGCAACCACAGAAGCCCTTTCCTTTCCATTTGCCTGCTGCTGCTAAGATCACTTTGACTTGTTCGTAACATTGTGGCACTCTGAGAACTTCCTTTATCCATCAAAGATACAAGGGCTTGGGGCGATCCTAGCGCTTCGTCCATGTCGTCTTCATGGTCGATATCGATGCCTTCTTGCACATATCTAGAAAAAATATATTGTATTTTATCGTTAGTAAGATTATTTACAGCATTTTCGATAATGTATTAATAGCCATGCCTGTCTTTGGGTGCAACTAGAGCAGTGTGATGGAACAGGAGCTGCAGACGTTCTTGTAAATAATTATGACATAGATCCTCGAAGTTTGCTCCAGTTTGACGTCCGCAGGTCGCGGGATTTTGGAAACCAGGCGCGTCGCATAATATTAACGATGACACTGTGTGAACTGGTGAGGTTATTGACCTGAAACACATGTCGGTAAGATAAGTTCCTTCAAATATACCTGATAAAGCTCTAATTATAAACATGTCTTACCTGTTGACTAGAGCAGCTACACAGTGAAATACTTCGGAGTACAAGCCTACCAGCAAACCTTCGAGTGCATCGAGGCCTGTGATGTCTTTGCTTTGGTCAGTGGGACTGGGTGTCCTTAGGCCAGCTCGTTGTGAGTTTTGTAATCCCACTCCTGTACCGTTCGACGAGAATAGCAGCCTGCTCAGCTCTTCGACAGTGGTGCCCAGCAAAGTTGCAGATTTCTCAGCACACTCGACTCTCGCGAACTGCCAACGACTCTGAGAGCTCGTGCTGGCTTTCACAGCTCCAGCACAACTTAGATGGTAAATGCCTGCCAAGACGATCCAAATGGCTTTTTCTTCAGACTCGGAGACCGCCAAGGTTCGGAATGCCGCAACGATGCGATTAAACTCGACTTGCGCTCGTTGTTTGTCCTCGTGCTTTTGCAAAGGTGTGATGAAAGGATTGTTCTCGGCCACGAGATTCGTGAGATGCAGCTCTTTGCGAAGGGTTCCTTCCGCTCCAGCAAGTAGGCGGTAGATCGCGTGGAAGCTGGGGTCACCATTGATGCGCCGGCCTATCCGTGATTTTTCCAGAAGCAACACCTGTTTTACGTAAGAATGCAGCATTACTTTTTAAATCGAATATACGAAGGATAAAACTGCTCGCGCCCATAAAGGTAGACGCTTGGAATGAAAACGAATTCTATCTAACTTTCAATTGCATTATGTAGAGACCATTATGTAGAACTACTGCGATTTGGTTGACTTGCTTCGACTTCATTTGTATGTGCAGGAATTTTCGTTGGGAGTAGTGAAGCTACTCGAGAGAAGAGAGGGACTAGGCTATCGGTGCATTGAGTAATACCTGTAGCGAGGCAGAAGCAATCTGTCCGGACTGATCAAAGTCGAGGCTAAAGAGTTGCGTGAAGCGAGTCGCATTGGTATTCATGTGGGTGCGACTGTTGCCGAAAGCCTCGAGGACCGTGAACAGCGCGTTCAATTTCTCGATCGTGAGAATCTTGTTGACGGTGCCGGCGGCCAGTACCAGATAGTGCAGCGCATGCTTGAAATTGGCGGTCTTGCCAGCCCCGCTGCGGCCGAGGAACACGAGCGAGTGGTCCCGTCGGCTGGCCAGCATTCCACGGTAGGCCGACTGCGCCATGGCGTAGATGTGTGGCGGCATGTCCTCGCTTTTGCAGCCCTTGAACATCTGCACCACCTGGGCAACGAATCGCATTTAGCTTGGAATCGAGAAGTGGGTCGTGGCTAAGTGAGCACCGAAACGGACAACGCCGAGTAGCGCGATTAGCGCAGTTAGCGAGCTGCGAGCTGCGAGCGGCATCGAGTGTCAAGAGCGACGTGGGCGTAATTGGGCCGACAGCGGAGAGCTAATTATCGATGCCGCTCGATGCCGCTCGCGCGCGCTGCACTGACCTTCTCGGAGTAGATGGCCAGAGGCGCGACGGGATTGATGACGATCATGCTCTCGCCGGCGTAGGTGTGGATGAGGTTGCTGGCGTAGCGCTGGCGCAGCGTGTGCAGCATCGACGACTCGTTGAGGAAGCGCAGCTGCGACAGGTCCTCCGCCCTGTCGAACTGCGGCGGGTTGGCCTGCGAACAGAGAGCGATTCAGCGGGGCGCCGCGTCGAGCGTGCGTCGCGTCGGCTACCTTCTCCACGTCCTCCTCGTCGACGAGCAGCTCCTCGCCGGAGTTGGCCAGGCGGATGCGCAGCTTGCCGGTGTCGGGGTCCGCCGGGGCGCCGCATCTGCTGGCCGAGCTGAAGCCGCCGCGGTGCAGCAGCCAGACGCGCTCCGAGGCCAGCCAGGCCTGCTCCTGCGCGAGGTGCTCCTCCGACTTGGCCTGCAAGGCAAAAGCGCTGGGCGTGAGATCGGGGCCGGACGGCGGCGCCGTGACAAGTCGAGCGGCTGTACGGTCGTGGCTGGTCGTCGCCGCACGAGCCTGCTCTGCAGCTCTCGCCGCAGACTCCGCTCCGGCTGCCGGCTGCCGCCGCCGTCCGGCTTCTCCGGCTGCCCCGGCTCGCCGAAGCTCTCGAGGGCGAGGCCGAGCAGCCAGTAGAGGAAGCAAGCCAAGAAGAAGAGCTCGCCAGTCATGATCGCTGAGGCGGCGTGGCCGCGCGAGGTTAACGTCCTCCCGGGCAAAACAACTACTCTCGAAAGCTCTGCGCGCGGACGGCGAGATAGAGATAGAGAGAGAGAGAGAGAGAGAGAGAGAGCGAGGCAGCGGCCGCGTCGTTTGCGCAAGCTCGGCCGCGATGCGCGCGCAGCCTCGCAGCATCGAGATTCACGCCGACGTCCGTGCTAATTGCCTTCGCGGATAGTCGCGCCTCCTTCGCCGCGGCGCGTAGGAATGCGCCGCCGCATCGATTATTCAGCCGCCTCCGCATGGGAACGCGTCCCGCGCGGACTCGCCTTCTGTCCAATTAGCGGCCGCGACGATTTAAACGCGAGCCGCGCGGAGCTTTCCAGCGCGCGGCTCCGCTCGCCGATGCGCCCGAATTGCCGGCTAATTGCGGCCTCCGCGACCGATCGGCGTCCAAAAGGGGCTGAAGGGGGGGGGGGCACGCACCCGCGCGGAATTGGAAAGTTGCGGAAACGATAGAGGAGGGCGAGGAAGAGAGATGCCGACCGCGAGACGTGTTTTTGCTGGCGCGCTGATACATGGTCGGCACGTCTTGTTTCCGGCTTGCACCGCGCCAAACTAATGAGCCTGGATTTCGCCGCGAATGCCCCCGGGCCGCTTTACGCAAGCCCCCGCTCCCTCTCGCCGACTCTCGGCTTCTACTCTCGCGGGATGAATATACGTAGCGTGCGCGCGTGCAAACGTTGGCGCATGCTAATGACCCGCGATCGTCGGAAAAATCATGCCGATCCGGCCTGGCTCCTGGGTTTCTTTCTCTACGCGCTTGCGCTCGTGCCGATTGCTCCACGGCGAGCAGGGGATTCGAAATAAATATTCGTCCGCGCTTCACTCTGGCGTCCGCGGGCCGAGAGCCCCATGTCGGTGTGGCACGACGCGCGAGCTGTCGCAACGGCGCACGTGAGGCTCCGTGACGGAAAAGCGAGGGCATTACGGTCGAGCGCGACGTGGCACATATACCTACTTCGAGAAAGCGTGGGTTCGGCGTCGCGCGCGAGAAAACTGAAAAATGCGGCGACGAAGCCGGCCCGCGAGCTTTCGGCTCGCGCCGACTAGACGCGTCAAAGGCGGCCGACAGTGCCTCGTCACCGCTACGGCAGCAGGCGTAAAAGCACTTCCGGCCCGTCGTGCACCGCCGCCAAACGATTATAGCCACACGTCGCCTTGCACGAGCGCGCCGCATAATTGGCCCTCGGTTTCGCAATTGCAATATCGCGCGCCGTGATACCATCGCGGAACGCACGTGCGCATTAGCGGGGGCAAGCGAGCGCGGCAGCGTTCATCAATAACCCGAGGCTCCTTTTTTTCCATGTCGTTTTTTTTTTCTTTGTCTTGCTGTCCTTCTTCCTCCAACCGCGGCCGCAGCCTCGTACAACGTTGCCGCGCCGGAGAGACGGTCGCGACTGCCTCTCTCGGAAAACGGTTTCGCCGAGCGGCCGTCGCTCGCTTCTCCGCTGCGCGAACCAATCGAGATATCCGCCCGCGCGGAAAAGCCCAGAGCACGTTGTCGGCGCACCGCTCTCTCGCGAAAATGAGACTCGAGCCGAAATTCGGGTCGGCCGGTAGCGCCAAATACGGCGCAAGCCGCCAGAACCAAGGTTACATATACACACACACACACACACACACATGTATACATCCTTGCGTCAGTCGTTTGATGCTCTCGGCTGACAGCCCTCTTCGAGCTGCGCGGAACGAAGAGTCGACGCCGATGGCGCTCTTTCTAGCGGCGTGCTCTCGGCCGAAAGTCGCGATCCTTTCACTGTTTCCCGGCCAGCCGCCCGCCGGCGCAGTCGTGCGCTTATCGTAACTTCATTAGCTCGCAGTTTTTTTCTCGCGCGAGCAATCATGGAAAGGTCGTTCCCGACGATAAATAACGCTCATCGGAGAGGGGCAGGGGGCTACACGCGCGCCATCCATTTCTCGCCAGGATCGAGGCCACCTCACGTTTGATCAATGTAGAAATCGGCTCGGCTCATTATCTTACCAGCTACTGATCGACGTTCGCAATTCATCATTATCGACAATGGCCAACGATCGCCGTCGAGATTCCCGACTCGTCGACGCGCGTTGCCAGCTACTACTAAGCCACGTTTTCGGAATCGTCGAGCGTTCCGCGAGAGAGCGCGTCTTATCGGGGAACAGCCCGATCTGACACGAATTCCTAGCGCGACTCGTTAATGCGACGCCGCCTCGTGCAGCTACACGCAAATAAATAATTCATATTCAGGGGCGACGCTGTGGAAATAACGTCGGCGCACTCGCGTCTCTCCGCGGACATTTTTTTTTTTCTTTTCTTTCGCCTCGCAACGGGGAACGATCTTCTACGGAGCTCGCCTAACGTAACCGCCGTATTTCTTTCGACCGAGTGCCGAATAAACAAGCGATGGAGGAGAGAGGGCAGAGAGAGAGAGAGAGAGAGAGAGAGAAACGATCTCGAGAGATTCGTCCGTCGAGCGATGAGAGTGCGAAAGCCTGCCGTGCCCGTTGCCTTTTTTATCGCGACTAAATTTTGTGCTCGACCCGAATGTCAGTCGTAAACTGCCGAGCGGAGAATTTCATTTCTGACGCTTTAAGTGTCGAGATATCGATTTATTTTCTTGCCAACAAAGGCGCTTTTGCGGGAAGCGCCGAAAAGCGCTCAGCGCAAAAAACAGAAAAAAAAATCGAATAATAGCCGGCTTTCATTCGCTCGTCCGGCGATAGAGCGAGCGACAATGGCGTTGCACACGATCGGCAAGTATTACGTGCAGCTTATAATAACCGAGGCACTCGCTGAATGAGAATCATTGTGAGGATTCTTTTTCTTTTCCTCTTCTTCGACTTTTTCTTTTGCCTGCTTCGACTTCCGCGCCTATTTTTCCGCGACAACGCCGACGAAACGCATTGAACGACGACAGTTGCTCTGTTACTTTTGTAAATAGAAATCTAACTAAAGTGCCACTCGTGTTATGTTATTATCGATAAATATGCGGTGTATTACGCGTAGCTCCTTGCGGCGATCGTAAGCCAGGAGCGGCCAAATGAGTTTGTCCAAGTCAGCGCTCGAGAAGAAAAGAGGAGAGAGCGCTCGGCCCGCGAACGAGCGACAATCAATTTGGCTTTGCACGCGCGCGCGCGCGCGCAGCTGATAAGCGTATCGCCTACTGCAAACACACGGGGCTGACGCTCGCCGAGCAGTGGCTCCAGATCGAGGAGCGAGCGCAACGGCGGCGACGCCACAGCGACGCGTTGGGCGCGATGGATTCACGGCTCGCCGAGGTTTCGCGAAGATCGTCGCCCCACACATCGGGTGTGTCGACGCAGCCGCGCTAATTGCCGAGGCGAACGGAAAAAAAGGAAAGAAAACAACGCCGGCGAAAATAAAAATAAAAAAGGATCGCTCTGGCGCGCGGCCGTCCTATAACTCACGGCGCGCTGCAGGCGGCGCGCGTTATGCAAGCTGTTTTGAGCACTGGCAGCAGGCGCGAAGCGCGGCAAGTATGCCTTTTCAATTTTCCACGGGCGCGGCTGCGGCGTGTTTCAGCCGGCGGCGGACGACGACGCTCCGCGCGCGCGCGCGGCTCGACTACTGGACTTCGCCGGCGAGGTCGCGGTGGCGCCCGTCGCGGATCACGAGCTCGCGCGCGGCTCGCAAATCAGCATGAAAATCGAAAATCGCGGTTGCGGCGGCCGCTTAGTCATGCGGTGCGCGTGCGCAGGTGTCGTTGGCGAGTCGACGGCCATAAAGGGTCTCGAACGATAACTTCCTGCAGTGGGATCGCGCGTGAGAGAGAAAGAGAGAGAGAGAGAGAGCGATGCACTTGGACTAATCAGCTCGGGAAAGCTCGGCGCGTTCTACGTGCCATGCGAGGCTATCGGGGCGACAACGGTACATTGCAGCAGCGGTTCGGCCCTGTTATCAAGCACGCGCGATTCGAATCGCGCCGACTGGAATTTGGCGAATAGAGAAAACAAAGGGCCAGCGACGACGACAACGACGGCGACACGCGCGCGCCACTTTCTATTGGCCGAGCTAACGCGACACGCGAGCGCTTTCAATTTTATCAGATTTATTGCGCGCTCGTGCGGCTCGCCGAGCGAAAATCCCGCGTCGAGCAGATCGCCAGCCCGAGATTAGTTTGTTTATTTAGCAAATTGCATGGGACATGTTGCCCGCGCGATCTCTCTCTCTCTCTCTCTCTCTCTCTCTCTCGCCCCCGAAGGCGCTCGACTTTCCACGGATAATCATGCCCACAACTCGGATCGCTACCCGCGCACGCCGAGGAATCCCGGAACGACGTTGTTCTCGAGCCGCGCGCTCACTCGTCGGCTCACTCGTCGGCTCACTCGTCGGCTCACTCGTCGGCCCGGCGGGCTCGCGGCCGCTGCCGACGCCGGGACGACGTACCTGGGGGCGGCCGGCGGCGCTGGTCAGCGCCTCGAGGTCCTGCAGGCGGCACTGGCGCCGCCTCCTACCGGCCTCGGCCAGCTCCAGCAGCCTCGGCCACTCGACGGGCCGCGCCGCGCGGCGCGCGCTCCCGACGGTGCCGCGCTGGCAGCGGCGCTCCCTCGGCGGCGGCCCGATCGCGAGGCTGTCGTCCCAGCCCTCCTCCATGCGGCGGGTGCGCTCGTCGCGGCCGGGCCCGGCGGTGCGCAGGCTGTCGGCCCAGCTCTCCTGCTTGCGCGGGCGCGGCGCGGCGCCGCACTGGTCGAGCGCCCGGCCGATGCGGCGCAGCAGCTGGCCCCGCTCGCCGCCCGCCTCCGACGAGTTAAGGCTGTCGCTGTCGCTGCACTCCCAGGAGCTGGTGCTGTTGCGGCTGAGCTTGCGCGGGCAGGCGGGCGGCGGGCGCTTGGGCGCGCCGCCGCCGCCGCCGCCGTTGAGCAGCGGCCTGGCGGCGGCGGCGCCGCGGTGCGCGTGCGGGATGAGCGCGGGGCTGGCCTTGCCGATGCCGCTCGCGTGGGCCTTGCCCTTGCAGGCGCGGTGGTGGCGCAGCTGCTCCTGCTGGCTGGCCGGCATGGCTCGCGCGGCAACACTGAACGGCGCGGGCTGCAGGCTCGTACGGCGCGGCCTCTCACGTGGGCCAGGCCGCCATGCTGGCTGCAAGTAGCTCCGATCGAGCGGCGCGCGATGACTGTCGCCGAGCGCGGCCGCGACTCGCCAGTCGCGCTCGAGCTCTCTCTCCGAGCCCGCGCGCCGAGCCGAGTGGTAGGGGGCCGCCCGCCTGCCTGACTGACTGCCTGCCTGCCTGCCTGCCTGCCTGGCCGCCGGCGCGTCGGGGGACACCGAGCGGAGGCGTGAGCGCTCTGCTCCTCCGCCGAGCGGCCGACGCTTCGGCTGCGCTCGCGGCTGCTCGACTCCGGCAGCTGCTGCGCCTCCACCGCTCGAGCTGCACCGTCGGCAAGGGCTGGCCGCGTTCGCGCGACGCGGATCGGCAGTTCGGCAGACTCGGCGAGCGAGCGAGCCGATTCCACGGCCAGCTCTTGCAGCCTCGCTGGCGGTCGTTGGGCTCGAATGGCCTCGCGAGTTGTCGTGGCGCTGCGCGCCCTAGCCGAGATCGCTCTTGGCCGCAGACGTCGTAACGCGAAGCGCCAGCTCCGGGCTTCGATTAGCCGCTCGTCGCGCGTGCATCCAATTCCAGTTGTCGACGACTTTCCACGAGACGTCGGGAGGGCGGGACAAAGCAACGCGCGAGCGCTCGCATCGAGTTTCCTTGGGTCGCAGGCGATCGCGTCGCTCGCCAACGGCGCACACGCTGCCCTGCAGCTGGACGCGGCAACGAGCTTTCGCTCGGCCTGCTCGAGTCCGTTCGGAATCGCAGTGGCGGCGCCAATTTGTCAACGTGCACGCGCGCAACGAAGCGGCGCCTCGAGCGCTATTCTCGCTAATGACGGACAATCGACATCTCGCCCCCGCCGTCGTCGCGGCCGT